ACAAGATTTTTATTATTATCTTATAAATGTTGGATGAAAAAATCTGATTCAGTTTGTAATGTCTTTATCTATATCTTGTATAAATTAAAAAATTTGAAAATTTCTTGTATTTACAATAAGCCAATAATGTTAGTATCGTTCATTTCTTGCATTGATGGTGTGATTTGGCTCATTTACTATCCATATTTTTCTTCGAAGCTTCCATCAAGACAAGATGATATATGTTAGTAATCTGGCCCACTTTATTTGCAATCATAGGTTTTTAAACTAACGATTTGGCTCATCTATTTCCCTACACAAAAATTAGTTGTCATTTTTAATATCAAATGGAGCTTCTATACAATAATATCTTTCTTAGGGCCAATCCATTTTTTCTTGTGTTATTTTAAGTCGATAGCCAGCTAACTTATGCAAGGCTCAGGGAGAACATTGTATCCTTGTTTCACACTAGAAAGTCCACTAACCGATAAAAGGATGCAAGAAAGTGACTTCATCTGGAAATGAATCTGCGGTAGTGAAGTCGGTGGTTTTGTAAAAAAGTACATCTTTGTTGCGAAGAAAGAAGGACAGACAATGGATTTTTCCTTGTTGCCCATATGTTGAGTCACAATGGATTTTTGTACCGACATTGGAGCCCATTCACGACCGTCAAAGTAGCATTCTATAAGTGCAGGGGTTTAGACTAGATCTCACAATGTATGTTGTTATATATATAATATATATATATATATCTATATATATATATATATATATATATATCATATATATATATATATATATATATATATATATTATATATAATTATTATATATATTATATATATATATATGTAATTACACTACAAATTTTTGGAATTAAAAATTTGATTGCTTTTTTGCTCTCTCTCAACAAAGATATGTAAGACAATTGAATTAATAATTGAGAAAAGCAAAAGGAGATAATTAATTGATTGGAAAGATTTTTTGTTATAAAAAATGAAGTTATGCCCTATTTAGTAAATAAACTTAATGTACAGTCGCGATGATGTTGCAATTGTGGTTGGTCAGTAGTTCATAGCGCACATTTGATTGTTGGTAGCCGGATCGTGGTGAAAATCCTACTAAAATCCTTCAACCAAGCACATACAGAAATAACATATTTTTAAAACTTTGGAGGTATACCAAGCCACGTAAAACATAATTTAAAGTCAAAAGAAACATCTAAAAATTCAAATATGATAGAAATTATGGAAATGGATTGAATTCTTTACCAAATTAAAATGAATAAAAAAAGGTATTTATAAACGATACTTTAATTCTCAATTATTATCTTTTTTTCCAAACAATTCATCTCCTTGGAATTATATAAGTTTAACTCTACGATTTTATATACCTCATACAAGTCTAAATGATGAGTTCCGATCAAATTTATCAAAGAATTTTATTATTCAAAAATTAGGAATTACTCTTAATTTTGTATATTTTGATGAACAAATCCAAAATACAGCATTTTCCTAAAAAACATGAAATTTCCACCGCACTCACATCCCGCAAAAATCCCCACAAAAACTAACGGGGTCATACCAGTTTTTATTTTTCATTTCTTCTCTTTTTCTTATCCAAGTTATTTCAAGGGAAAGTCATCAAAAGAACTATGTCTAGCTTACATTTATAAGTATTTTTAGTTGAATGAACATCCACATTGAATGTATCGCCTTCTTACCCAATTAGAATTTGATCTAATCAAAATCAGGCTCGTCCATTAGATGATTCCCCCTTCATTGGAAATATCAAGTTTTATGAAATAGCCATTACCAGGCACCCGATTAGTGGGGTTATGATAAGGTTTAACAACATAGCTTCATACCATGATTCATATTAATTAAATTAGCATCCCCCAACAAGATTTACATTTGTTAATTTAGTGTCATAAATAGCTGGCAAAGCAACAAGAGGTTAACACTCATCAGAATTTTCTTTGGAAGATTCATGCACATAAAATGGGTGAAAGATATATAAATACGGAGATGTTTGGTCTCATTACCCAAAATTCCAACTTTATCATTGCCTCAAGCCAGCAGGAGAAGAAGGTTGTGAAGATTATTGTTTTGGGGAAATGAGTTGACCTTCATTATAACACAGGATTGGAATCTCAGAGATGTTCCTGCAAGCTATCTTGCTAATAGTAGGAAAACAAAGAGGCAACTCCAATATTAGTATTCGACGGTGCTTGTACAAGAAACTGCATAGTAATCACGCTCGAACTAGCTATCAAGAGATTTGCATTAAGAAATGCAACCTAAAGACAAAAAAAAAAAACTAAATTTTTTTTTATATTTTAAAATAAATAGTGTAAATGTTATTAGTACATAATATCAAAAAAATTATCAATTCCATTAAATGATAAAATTAAATTTATTTTCATGCATTGAGTGCTCATGCAACAAATATTGGTGGCGTGGCATAAAATATATAAAATAGGCACATTTTTTGTTTAGTTGAAGACTTGGTATTTAGCATAAAAAATTTAAGGTCGTTTTGTATCCACAGAATTTAGGTGTTGTAAAACGGAGGATTTGTTAATGCTATATGTATATATAGCAAGCATGCAATTCATTGTCTATAATAATCATATCTAACATCAAAAGCAATCTCAAGTTGTGTAAGCTACCTCTATATCTTCCTCCGTCTTTACATGTCCTAGGTGCTTGCCGTGGACGATCTCTTCGGCGGAGTATATATTCCTAAAATCCGACCTTTCTTCGGTTCCTAGTTTTTGAGCCATCTCTCTTCGCTCTCTGTGGCTTCCGGAACTAGCCCAAATTTAATCGGATAGGCTTTTCCTTCATTCGTTCAACATGGGGAAAACACGTGGTATGGGAGCTGGCCGAAAACTGAAGACCCATAGAAGAAACCAGAGGTGGGCAGACAAATCATACAAGAAAAGTCACCTTGGAAATGAATGGAAGAAGCCGTTTGCTGGATCTTCTCATGCAAAGGGCATTGTGTTAGAAAAAATTGGCATTGAAGCAAAACAGCCCAACTCTGCTATCAGAAAATGCGCTAGGGTTCAATTGATCAAGAATGGGAAAAAGATTGCAGCCTTTGTTCCAAATGATGGTTGTTTGAACTACATCGAGGAAAATGATGAAGTGTTGATTGCTGGATTTGGTCGCAAGGGGCATGCGGTGGGAGATATTCCTGGAGTTCGGTTCAAGGTTGTGAAGGTTGCTGGTGTGTCCCTCCTTGCTCTTTTCAAGGAGAAGAAGGAAAAGCCCAGATCTTAATCTGCTACGGTCTTCATTTATTAGCATCTATGTGATTGTGTACTTCTATGATCTTAATCTGCTACGGTCTTCATTTAAAAAAAAAATTAATATGCTTGGGATAATGTATAATTTTGTTTTGCATTTTTTATCACACAATTTTTATGCTATATATTACCATTTTTTTTGTTGTTGGTGTCCTGTTATAGAAACTTTGGTTTACACTGAGAATGAATTTTAAAAAACTTTGATTTGGTTTAAGAAAAACGCCATCGTGTATAAATAATTAGAATTGCACAAATCTTAAAGCAACATTAAATTGTTTGACACTCAAATATTACAATCATCTCTATCATCAAAAGCAATCTCAAATTATGGAAAGGAGTACAAGAGACTTATTGTTATCATCGATATCATCGATCAAAATCAGGCTTTAGTTGATGCTCCTGTCATGGTTCGTGGACAAATGAATTTCAAGAGGTTGTCCCTAACTAATGTCAATTGACATTCCTAGATTAATACCCAAGAAGAGTAAATTGATTGCTACCATGGATGCAGCTGATGTCAAGAATAAGTGGGAGTAAAGCTCTATGGGAAGGAAACTTATTGTGCAAAAAAAGAGAGTTGAACTAAATGATTTTGATAGATTCATGGTTATGTTGGCCAAAATTAGGAGAGCTCATTCTATCTGACATGAGCTTACAAAACTATAGAAGAGCGCTTCAAAGTGAGATCCTTGAGAATTTACAGTCAATGGTTGTTTATTTTACTGCTTCTCGTTTGGGTTTTGACATGATCTTTGCAATATTTTACATTTATAATCTGAGCCCACAAGCTATTGTTAGCTCTAAAAGAAAACCATAATTTATGAGAGAAAGCATGAACATTATCCAAAATATTCTTGCAACCTAATGCCCCTTAATTTAAAACCCCACAAACATTATTCCAGGAAGCCCAATTAATAAAATAAAGAAAGTACTTACCATAAATGAAAGTACTCTTATCCTTGTTAATGGACAACCCACTCATATTTTAGAACTGAGATAAAAATTGCACTAACATTTTAATAGTATTAATGGAAGCATTCAAAAAAATTATAAAGTCATCCAAAAAATTTAGATGAGAAATAGTTAAGCCACTAACAATACAAGAATAAAGAGTTGGATATCTTTTATAAAGCTCCTCAAGGACTCTGGAAAGATATTCCATAGTAATAATAAAATGAGAAGGCGATAAGGGATCTTCTTGTCTTAGCCCATGAGCAGATTTAAAAAAAATCATGATTTCTACCATTAATGATCAGAGAAAAGTAACAATTTTCAATACTATTCTTAATAAGCATGATGAAAGATTGACTAAAACCAAAAAGAGACATCACATTGTAAAAAAAAATTTAGTTCAAATTATCATATGCTTTAGTAATATCCAGTTTAAAAATGAGATTCCCCCCAGTCTCCTTAGCATTGACATCATGAACAATCTCTTGAGCCAAGAGAATATACCTTTGACAAACCCCATTTGATTATAAGAGATGATTCTAGGTAAAATGTTCATTAATCTAGAAGCAATTATTTTAGAGACAAGTTTATTAAAGAAAGTACAAATACTAATATGTCTAAAATTATTCTAGTTGATGGTAGAATCTTTTATTAGAAATTAACACAATATTAGTAGAAGCGAAAAACTTATGAAAAGGATTTCCAACAAAATAAGTCTTTCACAACTCCATCACGTCTAACTAAACAAATCCCAGGTTTTAACAAAAAATTTAGTAGTGAAGCCATAAGGACTAGCAATAGAGTCCCCATTCATGTCTTTAACAGTCTTCCAAATTTCATCCTCCGTAGGAGATTGATAAAGCATAAGATTATCTTTCTCACCAATAATGCAAGGAATCACATTGGTATTTGTAATAGGGGTAATATAACTATTGTTATTAAAAACCTTTCTAAAATGCTCCACCCCAGATTTAACAATTAAATTGTCCATATCGTAAACACGCCCATGATTGTGAACAGCTTTGTGGATATAACTCTTAATTCTATTCTTATTGACCAAAGCATGAAAAAATTGGTATTCTTATCCCCTCCATAACTGTCTCTAGAAGATCTCTTCTTTATTTTGCAACTGAAAAATGTAACTTCAGCATTATTAAGATTGGAGAGATTGGCACTTATGGGATTCTCCAAATACATCTTATCCAACTCCAACACCTTATCTTCGGCTTCCTTAATATTAAAAAATATAATCCTAAAAACATTGTTGTTCCACCCTCTAAGGACCTATTTTAATCTACTCAACTTGACCCTGAGATGATACATACCCTTAATATTGTTATAAGGAGAGATAGTGGCATGCCAATTATTGTAAACCACATTCATAAACTCCTTATGAGTTGACCACATGTTCTGAATTCTAAAGGCCGAGGGGACATTAGTTTTATTAGCACATATGGTCAAAAGTAAAGGAACACGATCAGAAAAAGTCCAACTTAAATATTGAACATGAGTCATAGGAAATTCTCTAACACATATATTATTAAAAAGAATCCTATAAGTCATTGCAACATAGAAGTTCTACTCCAAGTAAAGGCACCAAAAGTAAAACCAATAACATGCACTACAGGAAAACAACTCATTTCCGGCAGAATTTTCGGCGGAAGTAAATTCATACAAATTACAGCGGATTTCTGACACAAAAATTTTGACGAATTTCCGATAGATTTTTGTCAAGGTTTCCGATGGATTTTTTCCGACGAAAATTTCTGGCGGCGGATTTCTAATAGAAATTAAAATTTTAAGTTATATTTTAAAAAATAACTTAAATTATTAAATTTAATATCTTAAATTACAATAAATAAAATAAAATAAATTATAATTTAATTATTTAATAAAAAAATTAAATGATTTAAATTCAAACTTAAATTATGATAAATTTTTATAATTGATTAATTTGTTAAATTAAGTTAAATAATTAAATAATTTATTGTTAAATTAAATTATCTAATTTAATAATTATTTGTATTAAATTATATTTATTTTTATCTTTAAAAAATTAATTTTAAAATAATTTTTACTTTTAATATTAATAAGTTATACCTTAAATATGATAAAGTAGAAGGATTTAGCTGTC